TCGGACTTTATCCGAAAGTTATGTGTACTTCAAAAAGTGTATCAGATGGAACACATAAAAATCTGGGAAATCTTTTTGTAAGCTAGTAGTAGTACAGTCGATCGGGCTCATCTTCGAACTCATCTGCGACATTGATAATATACTGCTATGTACTAAATTTCATGCCAATTGCAATATTCTTTCAAGAGCTATGGGATTAACGGCCAGACGGATCTACTGACCGATTCTATAGTATACTCACTTTTCGAGCATACAAAAGGATCCATTCTTTTTTTTTCGTATTGCAATGATGTTGTTTTTTCGAAAAACTGCACAAGCAGTGTAGCTCAGTGGAAGAGCACTGCATTCATAACTCAGAGATCGATAGATCAAAACTATCCACTGCTATAATTGATTTTTTTCGTTATTAACTAACATTGCATCAGAATCAAAAGAAAATTTACTTTCACATTGATGTTATTGGCCAATAAATTATAAGAACTATCATATTTGTTCGGACTCATTATAAATAAAATATTTTAATTATTTGTTTTTTGTCAACAGCTAAATTACGATAAGATAAGATGGTGTGACTCAGTATTTATATACTATCTTTAAATAAATTTATAAACTACAGCCAAGTAGAAAAACAAGAAATCTCTCAATGTGCAATCAACTGTTCTCGTTCTGGTATCGGTATAGAGTCATCTTACTTTTGCTTATATTGGGCATATACTTCATTGTAACAAGTATGATGGATTTTATTGCAGAAAAACGAAAAGAAAAACATTATAAAGCTACAACATGTCAAGTTGAACGTATTTTAGGCTGTATTAAAAGCACCTGTTACTATATGGGGGCTGATACACTCGAGTCTAAAGATTGTTATGTCCTTTGATTGTATGTTCGTTATTCTACTGGAACCAATCATCAAAACATGACATATAATTGTATAAAGGAAAAACTGGGATATGATTCGTGTGAAGGAGCATTTCATGTAGCAAAACAAAAGCGTCGAGTAAGTATGATCTTCGAATGTTTCTAATTAATCTAATTAATTTATGTTTTTAGCTAGGTTCTTCATATCGTTGTTATTATAATTCAAAGAATGAACTAGATTTGCAATGGGACAAACCAAATTCTAATCCTAATGTGGTATTGGTTATTATAAGTAGTCTTCTTACTTTTGTTCTATTATTATTATTAATTATATTTATCAAAAAGGACTATTCTAACGATTCGATTGTAGCATCCAATCAAGAACAACAACAAATGATTTTATGATTTATTTAGACTTTTATAAATGTATTCGAACTCCTTAAGACTTCGTTGGGAAAAACAATACGATTAATACCATTGTGAGGTGTAAATCCTCGCTTCCTAAAAAGGTACAACATATTTGTCAGCTCGAGTAAAGTTTTCCATCATCAATAATAAAATAATCATTTTCAAAAAAAAAGTTTCACGATCTATTCAAACTGCGCAAGAACATCACCATTATCACTAATAATATTCAAAAGAAGCATTACTAAACAGATGAAATATATTCGACTCTAACGAAAGAGTGAAAATGGAAGCTCAGTTAAAGACAGTGGCAACACATTTATTCACATTCATGACAGATCTTCACTTCAATTTCGATATTTCTTAAATATCATGAAGTATTCTCCTATACTCATTATACAAGTAATTATCATCTTTGAATATTTAGGATAAAGTTCACTTTATTTGTAGAAGATTATCTCAAGCCGATGACAACAATTTCATTATACTTTTATAGATAGTTCTGACGTATCTGATAGAGAAAGTAAGTTCTTGCTCGTTTAATCGATGAATAATGAGAAAATAGTATAATGAAATTGTGCTATTTATATTTTCTTATTAGAAGAAAAGAAGAAGAGAATCAAAATATAGATGTAAACACATTATTTATTAAATCAAGAATTCGAACAAAGAAAATAACTAGTTTGATGGAAGATATTACAATTAAACTTGCTCAAATTCTTTTACCAATCATTATTTTAATAGGTTTCATTGGTAATTCTCTTAATATATTAATATTAACTCGTTCAACTTTAAAAAAACATGCCTGTTCACACTATTTTCTTAGTTTAGCATCAAATAATCTAATCTATTCCTTCGTTCTTATACATTATTTCTTAGCAAATAGGTACAATATAAATGGACAATTATTTTCACTTGTTTCATGTAAAATTCTTACATTTCTTAACAATTTATGTTCATTATTATCACCTTATTTTATTGTATTAGCATCAATTGATCGTTATTTTGCAAGTTCATCAAATGTTCATATGCGTCAATGGAGTACTAAACGTATTGCTCGACGATTAATTTTACTAACAGTTCTTTCTTGTACATTAATTTCTATTCATGATCTTATTCTAACTGATTTACGTCCAGATATTTATGGATGTTCTTTACCATCAAATACTAATTATAATAAATTTTTTATTATTTTTCGAATTATATTATATACTTCTGTTCCACCATGTCTTATGATTATATTTGGTTTATTAACAATCTACAATACAACTCGTTCACAAATAAATCGACAAGTAACAGTTCGTTATCGACGTACAGAAAGTCAACTATTACGAATACTTCTAGTTCAAGTAATAACATATATTATTCTGAATATGCCATTGTCTATTATCTATTTAATGTTAAGTTTACCAACAGGATATATTCCAACTTCGAAATTATTTTTTGCATTTCGACTTGTTTCATTTCCATTTCATTTTTCATTTGCAACACCATTCTTTTTATATATTCTATCATCAAGTATTTATAAAGAAGAATTAATTCAATTAATATTCAAGCTTTTACATCGTAGACAAATTCATCCTATAAGAAATCTCTTTCATTAATGTATCTTTTTTCTCTTAAAATACATTAAGTTGAGATAATTGAATAGATTTATTAAATAAATGCGAAAACTTCGGACTTTATCCGAAAGTTATGTGTACTTCAAAAAGTGTATCAGATGGAACACATAAAAATCTGGGAAATCTTTTTGTAAGCTAGTAGTAGTACAGTCGATCGGGCTCATCTTCGAACTCNGGACTTTATCCGAAAGTTATGTGTACTTCAAAAAGTGTATCAGATGGAACACATAAAAATCTGGGAAATCTTTTTGTAAGCTAGTAGTAGTACAGTCGATCGGGCTCATCTTCGAACTCGTCTGCGACATTGACAATATACTGCTATGTACTAAATTTCATGCCAATTGCAATATTCTTTCAAGAGCTATGGGATTAACGGCCAGACGGATCTACTGACCCATTCTATAGTATACTCACTTTATGAGCACACAAAAACCATCATGCAAAGTTTGACAACCTTATCTGCCATAGAATCACTTGGATGATGACTCAACGACGGTCATATCATAGATTTTAGGAGATGTTTCATGATTACAGTGATACAAGATTCGAGAACTTAAATAGAAAGTGAATTAAGTTTGAATTCAGAATTATGAATAAATCAGTTCAACGTGATCCAAATTTTTGAGCAAGAAAATATCGTAATTAAAACACTTGTGCACTACTATCGGAATTTTTAAAGGCTGGTGGAAGAAAAGCTCATCCCTTTTGAATGGAAATTCACGGTGACCGACAATTTCCACTATTCAATAAAGGACAGTCAAGGGCAGATATCTATGTGAAAATCGGTGCCTGAAACAAAGTATATATTCTTCACTTATTAACAATTTGTTAAAAATCGCTACATAAGCTTTGAATTTCGAAACCTGCAATTTCTTTGTTTTTACACGAAATTCTTCTCTTTAAAACAACAATATTTCAGCATTTTATCTTGGTAGATTCAAGTGATACAGGGTCATAATACAGATACAAGTACTTTTAAGAATCAACTCGTGAATTTCCACAGAGTTTCATGTGTCTCACTTCAATTTTTCAAATGATGAAAGTCTCAGATTCCTATGATTTTTCATTCAAAAGTTATAAACTTTCCTTCTACCGGCCTTCTTTACAAATTTCTATAGTAATATGACGTTGATTAAAAAAATGACAATCCAATTAGAAGAACAAGTGTATTCAATAACTATACTACGAATAATACGCTGAAAAATATTCTTGCACTAAGTCGAAATTCTACAAACCACTAGATATATAAAGAATAGTTCTCCTGTCAGGAATATACTTAGAGAATTACTCTAATTCCCTCTACTGAAAGGAGGGTATACATAGAATTTGAGTTAAAGTTCGTTCGTCCGCTCACGTACTTTACACTGATAGAGCAGCAATCTATACTGCTTACGAAGAGAGTTTGACCAAAGGGTAATCGAGGTCGAGGATCTCGACTTCGAGGCTAGTTTTTTCATAAAAACTTTCTGTCTTGTTTTTTTTTGTGACAAAGGATCAATTTTTTTAGACGATAATGTTTTCAGCAGCAATATGTAGAACAAAATGTAATAGCTAACTGACGTCCGATCACTGGATCTCCATAGTCATCAGCATATTAATGAGATCATACACTTTTATAAACAGCTATACTATACGAATATCATCTGATACCAGTCATTCAAAATAATGTTTCGCTTGTCAAGTGTTGTCTTCGAGAGTTACAGTAGTACAAAGAGGGTGACTCTTAAAGAGGGAATAGAAGATAATGAATGGATTACTTTCAAAGGTGGCTCTAGACTAAATGGAAGAGTGAAAATGTACATGTAACGGCTAGCCGCGAGTGGCCGACGGGAGGGAGGCTGACGAGCGACTAGTCGTCGATTTCGAGAATAATATTTTCAAGGACAAATTTTGTGATTTCTATAGAGCTTTAAGATTTCTTGGTCAGAAATTAATCGTCGCTTTCCACGAACATAGCTGGCAGCTATTTAAGGTTCCTCGCGGTGGAGAGAAGATTGAAACCTTTTCCAGAGAATCATATAGTTATGTAAATTTCCTCAGTTTTTGATTATGAATTGATTTTCCGAAAAGAGCTCATTTTCGGAACGCGTCTTCGTCCGAATGAAGTTAAGATAGTAAAATAAGTACGCATGGGAACAGCTAGCCGTAAGTGGCCGACGAACGACTAGATGTTTCTTTTGAGAATTAGTTGAAAAGTAAGATTTATAAGACTTTCGCATAGTGTCCATAATTTTTCTAAGGTATATAGTATATATATAACGTCTTTTCGAGCTGCGAGGAAAAACTATATAGATCACCAACTCATTCAANGTGTTGTCTTCGAGAGTCACAGTAGCATAAAGAGGGTGACTTTTAAAGAGGGAATAGAAGAGAATGAATGGATTACTTTCAAAAGTGGCTGTAGACTAAATGGAAGAGTGAAAATGTACATGTAACGGCTAGCCGCGAGTGGCCGACCGGAGAGAGGCCGACAAGCGACTAGGCCTTATAATTTCAGAAGATTTCAGGAAGCGAAATTGATCTAGGTAAAACATTCTGGCAAATTATCAAACGATCAGATCGTTCAACTGAAATAACTTTTTTCTCTCTTTGAACGAATAGTAGCGCTCTAATACTATCCTTTCAGTAGAGGGTTTAGCGGTTACTAGGCCGTGTTACTTGTTTTTTTCTGCAAAATTAAAAAAACCTAACATCAGATTTGAATTCCCCGACCCCAAAAACCCTTTGGTCAAGTTTGATCGATAACAGTAATTTTTACTATTAGTTTATTAGTACGTTAGTGGCAATTACTAATTAGTAAAAAATAACATCAGATTCGAAGCCTTCGCATCAAAATACCTCTGGAAATGTCTTTTCGGAAAAATCGGTTTTTGATGTTTTTTTGACCCTGCGGACATACAAGCAAGCAAACAATTTATGTGGATTATATAAAAACATGCAGTTTTTATACATTCGATCTACGCGTCGTGTCTTTTGTGTAATATCAAGGGTTTGTATTTCAGACGAGAAAGAATTATCTGATTAACCAATGGTAACGCTTCAAAAATCACTAAAGTTGTTTCAATAAAGATAGTGTCATCTATACTTTAGTCACACAATACATGTTGAACTTACACAACATTTCTATCATTTTTAGCACTAAGCATCTCGTAAAAACTTTTTCCTAGAATTTTTCGTCAACATTAACATAATTCGAGATTTTTATATTTCGACATTTATATTTTTCTATATCCCTATTTTCTATGTTTGTACCTCCGATCTTTTTTTCGTCGAGATTATTATGTTTCGGTATTTTTAGCTTCGACGTTTTTAGGGGGAATCGTGTGCGCCTTTATTTAATTCGTTGTATTAAGAATCGCATCTTTTACATACGTCGACATGTGCAACCAAAAGAGACGAAATGTACAAGAGATAGTGAAGAACCAAGAAAAATGGATAGAACGATATCGTCGTAGTCATGTCTTTTCTTTTCTTTCTCATGTCGAGGGGAAAAGTATTTATTGAAACTACGGTATGGGAACGAAGATCGTTGTCGAACGATTTTCTGTGTTGTTAGAAAACCTCAGCTTTGAAAACATACTTTTGTTATATCGATCGATATTTTTTCATGATTATCAAGAGAGAAACTAACTCGTCTAATACTGGACTATATGAAATGAATAAGAAGGTGTCGAATGGCAGGTTTAAGAATCCCTTATGTTTTTGTTTGATATTCTTTGATGAGGTTCAATCGATATTTTGCAGTCATTAAGCTGATTTTTTTAAACAAATCACTCTCTTCCAACTCGATACAACAAAATATAATGAGATACAAATCATTGTCAAAAAGGCATTCCAGCTAGTATTTCGATTTGCAAATTTCAGCAAGATCAGCCAATAAAAGTTTTTCTCTTTGAAATTTTAACTCTGCATCGTCAACATCCATGAAATAAGCATCATAGTTACCAATGTCACACGAATTTCCAAGTGAAGGTTTTCTGGAAATGTATAGAAAATCGTCTCCTATAATTATGTAGTTAATTTCTCGATGATGGTCAGAAAGAAATCGATTTTATTACGTTAAAATTTCATTGATTATTTTCTTTTCGCAAACGACAGACAATAAGAAATTTGAACATGACGAATATCAATAAATAAACATTTCGTATCACACAAAATCTGTTGCTTATCTCAAAGCATAAATATCTTTGTCTTCGATTGATCTGTATGATATTCATAATAATTCATTTTAGAACTGAACACAGGAGAAGATGCGCGACCCGTCGTGTGTTCACCTCTGATAACTGTGAAATGAGTAATTGAGATATGATATCCGACAACAGCCAACCATTCGAAAAAAAGGCAGTTCAGGCATTGACGATAACAATGAGCTAATTGGTTTCCAATTATGTCGTGTTACTTTTGAAAGGAACAAATGAGTTGGATAACATGTATTTTCATTGGTTCAATGTAATGAATAAAGTTGATTTGGAATAGTCTTATCAATTGACAATTTGACACCAAATTGTTCACATTGCAACCGATTTTGAACAGTTACAAAACTTAAACTAAAGAAAATATTTCGAATGATATGAGATGAGTGAAACAATGATTTAAGTAATCAAATGAATGAAAAATATCAATGATATGAAGATATTGAAAACATTGGAGAAAGATTTCATATGGTAAAAATGTAAACTTCATTTGAGACATTACGACGAGAAGAACTTGTTGATTATCAAATCACGTTTTTCATTATCTCGTTTTATATCAAGCATCAAGATGTATTTATTACCCCCCGATACGTTTTATGCTTTTAAAGTTACTTTTATTGTTCTGACATCAACAAAAAAAACTGGCGATATATAAGGGTATTGTCGACGAAACAGAACTAAACCTCATATTTGAGCTTTTCGACAATGAAAATGAAGTATATGATGGACAGATATTGAGGAAGACGACATCGGGCACAGGTATTGTTCATTTGTGTTGTAGTTGAATTATCGGTATGAATATATGTTGTTGCTCTTAAATACGGTAAATGTGCTTCATAGTCTGTCTGTATCAATGTTTTTATCCTTTCAACTACATCAAAAGTATTGCAGACATTCCAATAGCAATGAAAGATGAATCATAATATGGATTAAGATCATCTTTATATTGAGTAACAATCTGTAATTGATAAGTGGTGAGATGAATATCTGATCTTTCCAAACAACGTCCTTTCCATTGTTGTGATTCCATGGACAATAATTCTGCTTGGCATCTTCCACGTTCACAGAAAACAGGGTTTCCATTTTCGATACAAATTAGATCAACTGTTTCAGATAGAGGAAGCTTTATCACATTGAGTAACGAAGCAAAGTTAAGATGGAGATAAGAGTGATCGATTTCATTGAGATAACTTCATTCGCAAAGAGATTCACTATTACAACGATACTCTACAAATGTGCCATGTTCTTCTGTTTGTGGTGACCCACTAACGATTTTTAAAATATCGTCATAATAGGTAAAGTATCAAACTGAACACTAATCAAGTCACTTGATATATATCAGGTAGAACAAGTGTCGTTGTATTCAAAGGAACTTCAAAGTCACATCAAGATTGAAGACACCGTAAAGAAGATGAAGTCTTCTCGATCATTGTTTGAACTTGTTTCATTCGTGGTAAATTATCACAAAGACTTGCTTTACATTGATAAACAAATGAAGTACGATTAACACGATTCGAATTTGCAATTGAAATCTTGAGTAATTTCCGTTTACACATTCACTTGTCCAATCTTCTAAATCATTGTCAAATATTCGTATTTTACATAAATCAATACACTTGTCATAAATCTTAAAGTATTTAACATAAATATATAATTTAAACTTAGAAAAGTTTCTTCATAAAAATGTTCCGTTTGACATTGATATTGAAAAAGACATTTTTTCCCATCTGATCTAGATTGCCACTTGCCTTTAAACAAATACTTCGATATGGCGAAATTCCAAGATCGTTTACACAAATTTGATATCACTTGCGAATTAATTCGCGAGAAATGGAAGCATATTGTATTAATCGATAAAGACGTTTCAACTGAACTGTTCACGATGGATCTTACTGAACCTCATGTAGCATTAACTCAATCACCGTATTCGATTGATTTAGAATCGATCGTGGAAAATATCATGGAGGGACGCTTTCGAGTTCTTCGTCCAATTGATAAATTTATGAGAGATCGTATCGATAGAATGGTTCACCCTTTGTATAAATCATTAGCACCTGAAATGTGAAAAATCAATCAAAATATTCGAATTATTTCGATTAATGGAGTTAAAAATCTCTTCATTGAGCACACATACGAAGTAATGTCAAGGGGCGAATCCAAACGAACAGAAGTTGTTTCATGAAACGAAGATCAGTGGAATGAAAGAAATTTTAGAGAACGACTTTGATGATCGATTTTTTGATTCACAAGGAGCGTGGAGTAAGTGTACAAAATACAAGAACGAATGCCATGTCGTTGTTCTACTTAGGTACTGGCGCTTATTTTGCAGATGATCCTCGGAAATCGCATCGTCACACTACTCCCGAAGGAAGCGATCAGAGTCGTGTGATGTTTTACAACACATTCATCAAGATCAATCAATAATTATTTCAATTTTTCTGCGAAACTTCGATATTCTATACATTCAGAAATGGGTTTTTAATCTTTGATACGAAATCATTAAAATAAAACACACTTGACGTATTGATATTATATTTTCGCATTCGATGAATTAAGAGAGTGTCACATACATTGAGAATGTGATCGACTTATCAAAGATCGTTTCATATCCTGTCAGGTTTTGATTAAGTCTATGAGAAAGATGTGTCTTGAGTAGTCGGATTTTGACACAGATTTTAGCGGAAAAAATAGAGCAGTCTTGCGTTTTCTTTGCGCGAACAAATAAAATTTGTTTTAAAAAAAAAGATAAGAACATTTCATCAAGTTTGACGCTATAAAAAGAGAACATCTCTCGTGCTGCACAATTGATTTACTAGCAACAGTTACGAGAGGGAACAATATGTGTAATCGTCGAATATATAGTAAGTCTCAACGATTAAAGTAATATAACTACACATCTATCATACTTTTGCTTGAACAGCTTTTGCATTTGTGTTGATGCTGATTAATTGTGTACCAGTAAGCTTGAAAAACTTGGACGTTGTGCATTCCGGTGAGTTCTGTTTGCGTGCGCGAGCGAGAAGGAAAGCATACTGATTGGCATTTTTCAGGATGGTCTAACATAAAGAGCATGAATCGAGTGCGTCTGTTCCACACTGCATCTTTGTTAAAAGATGGAAAGCTCTTGGTTGTTGGTGGATCTGACTATCCAGAGTACGTAATATTTTACTGAGAAGTTGAAGAGATAAGAGAAAAAGCAAATACTGATGTGTTCTACATTTATATTCTAAATAGTGCGGAAGTGTATGATCCAGTGACAGGAAATTGGACAATGACCGAAAGTATGAGTATACCACGAATTTGGCATACAGAGACTGTCTTAGAGAATGGAAAAGTGCTCATTACCGGTGGACAGGATGAGGACGTGAATTATTTGAATACTGTTGAGTTGTGTGATGCATCAGAGAGAAAATGGAAAAGAGTTCCCCACATGCGGTATAAACGAATCTGGCATACAGCGACTCTTCTCAAAAGTGGTAAAGTATTAATTGTTGGCNTAAAACTCTGTTTTCTTTTCAATTCATATCTGATAATCAAACAGTTAGCGTTATTTCGAAATATCGAAAACATATCTCTTGATATGAACAAGGATTTATTAATTATTCGAAATAATCTCTTCAACAAACATGTTAACATCATTTACGTTTATAAAGCATTTCAATGATGTTTTTTCATTCGGTTCATTGTCAAAATGTGATAAAATACAGAATTTGAAAGAACAGAGGTTTGAAAATGGTTTCTTTTCTTCATTTTGTATTGTTACATAAGAAAAAGTTCATCATTAGTTGAAATGTTCTTATTGATGATCCTGAAATTTGCACATCTTAATGGTGAAAGACATGAAATTTGCAAAGATAAATCTTTTTGTCTTGTCAACACATATCGAAACATCAAAGAAATCAATTGAATTTCTCTTCATTTTCTCCAAATGACATTTCTCACGAAAATCTCAATGAAAAAGAAATTTCTTTCAATGAATTTTCTTCTTTCAGATCCAACGATACAAAATCTTCATTAAACAATAAATCATTGACGTCGAAATCAATAAAGAACGATGTCAAAACACGCAATGAAATGTTGAAACAAAAGAAATTTGATTTTATCAACAAAACTTTGTTTTTCCGCAGAAGAATCAAATGTTCATTTGGAAATGTTTCAAAGAGAAAATTCAATTGGAATCTCAGCGAAATGTCGAACGGGATTTGGAAGAAAATCTCGGATCTTCATTCATTTCGCGATTTTTATGTGAAGAAAAATGCGAAGAAAACTTTTACAAATCAAATTTCAATGTGATCACAAATTCAATCTGAACCGTTCGACAAAACAAAATCACTTTTCATCTTTCGAAAATACAAAGAAATTCATCGAATTCAACAAATCTTCCAAAGCAAATTTCGATCGACTTTGTGCCGAAAATCTTCAAATTCCTTCTTCTTTCTCAACATTTTTCTCATTTTCAACACTTTTCAAAAGTCAATTTCTTTTCTTTTCAACAAAATCAACTTTTCTCTCCACACATTTTCTCATCGAAATTTCCAAATCAATGAAAATCTTCACAAAACAAAAGCAAATCTCAAAATCAAATCAATTCACATGGTTTCAAAAACAAAATTCTTTCGCTTTTATTCACAAATCAAATCAAATCTCAACACTCGTGAATTTACACAATCAGCAACATAACGATTTCCTTCAACATCAAATGATAAACCAAAGGGATAAGACAATTGATTTGATTCTTTTCTTATTGACGTTATTCACTGTATATGTTCTTTTGGCCATTGCTTGTGCATTTTATTCATATCCATTACTGATGGGTCAGGCAAAGGTTAACGGTGATTACAACGGTATAAGATTGCAGACAGTGTTGATCAATATGACACAAGATGATGCATTCTGTTTCCACTGCATACAAACTCATTTAGGACATGACGAATTGAAAGCTTTCATTCAAAACAAACATATCGATACAGAGATGCAAGAAAATCTAAAATCAGTTCGTACACTATTCAACATTTTATCGATAACAACATCATTTCTTACATTCATCGTATTTGATGGACTCAAGTTAATCTTTTTTATTTCTCTCTGCTCGTCTGTGTCTATCTTTCTTTCTATATACTTAAACAATATTTTACATATCGTTATACTCGAAGCGTCTGTCGTTTTATTTTCATTCGTTACATTCCTAGAACTATCCTATGCTATTTTATATGCAATCATCCTCAATCAGAGAAAGAAATCGGGTTGATTTTCATATCTTATGATTCTCTTTCATTGATAAAACTTCTAGATTTATTTCAAATTCTGATTTGGATAATATTCAAAATTGTCATGTCATCTTATTCTGATGCCAATCATCATCAATCAATAATTCCTCGTAAGATTAAATTCAAATTCTTTCGAAAAAATTTTCCTGAGTGTCTTTTAGAAAATGAAATCCGATTGATTTTTATTCAAACACTGGTTAGTTTATATCTTAATTCAACTGGTAAAATAAATATACTTATTTTCAACAAATATTTTTCATTTAGAATCCCAAGCCACAAGATTTTCTTGTGAATCAAAACCGACAAAGAATAATTTGTTTGATTTCGATTCTATTGATTATTTATTTAAAAGTCTTCATTGAATCGTGGGAAATGATCAATGATGTTTCTTCGAAAGATGAATATTTACGTCAACAATGGCTTTTTGAACAAGAGAAAATTGTTAATCAAAAGAGAAATTTACAAGAATTTTTAAATGATTTACAATCGTCTTCAATTCAAAGTGAAAAACCATGTAAAAATTGTTTTACGACGATTTTAAGATGGTATTCCAAAGAAATCTTGAATATCTATGAAAAAAATCGACATGTTAAAGAAGAATATAATCAAATCGTACTTCCATTACAATATCTTTCATCTTTTGTTTGTTTGATAAACAATTTCTTAATTCTCATTACCTTTAAGAAATCTCACAGAGTTTATTTTCTTTCGAATATTCTTCTCACTATTTGTCTTTGTATTTATGCCGAATTCTTTCTTCCAAATGAACCAAGTGTCTCCTATACTTTATTCATCGCTTGGTCAATTCTTATTTTCACAATTTATCTCTTAATGAAGGTCTTTTCAACATTATTCATCATCGAACATTATCAATCAATAGATTTTCTTCAAAAATAAGAAACAATGATCAGATCATTTAATAGTTTTTCTTGTTATTTTCAACAAAAAATCTGTCTAACGCTGCTTTTTTTCATGAATTTCCTCGATGATATTAAATAAATGGACATCCACTTAAACAAGTTTTATCCAATCTTTTACACAAACCTCTTGTTCTTTAACATATTGACAAAAAATCCATATTCATTCTTCTTTTTTCTTGGTTCATATTGTTAAATCAATTGAATAGTCAGTTTTTGCTTTAAATGAATTATCTAGTCTTAATAACTATTGGCTGTCCATCACGAGTAAGATGATAATGTTGTTGTTTGCTGATTAATAATCATTTTGACCCATAAAACAAATCGAAATGCGTATAATGACGAACTTTTTTCATATCATACATAGGAATAAATAAATTTTGTTCACTATATAATGAAATACGATAAAGACTACTTGTATCTTCCAGAATAAATGTCTCCGATTGATATGTAATTCATGTATTAAAATAATTTATCCACTGATTTGTTGAACTTTTTGGTAACCATACACGTTGAATTCGTCCAGGAGATGGATCTCGTATTACAGGTACAACATAAATATTTAGACCTAGGAAATCATTGGTTGAGTATCATCACATGGTTTCATTATCGAAATTCCATGGACAATGTTCTCCCATACCAACACTTTCCATAAATGAACTTAATGCACCATAATAGCTGTCTAACGAAGAACAACTTCTTTTGTACGACCTAATGGGCCAGAATCATGATCAAAACGATAACCACTGATATCAGAACCAAAACCAACATAACCTTTACGACCATTTTCAAGCATATAACGAAGTGCTATACTTGTAAACCATCACATGTCGCATTTTCATCACCTGTTCAATATACATGCATTAAAATTTGTTGCCCATTTTGAATCAATACTTTTTATCCATTCGTTCGATATTTTTATGATTGACAAATCGATTCAACATTCTATCGATGGCTACCAACTTATTCTTGCTTTAATCGAAGTTATTACGACAATTTTTCATTGTTTTCTTTTTGAAAGATTTATTTATTTATTACTAAAACAAATGTATGGTGTGAAATCTCGAACAATGGCATATTGGTCAATTGTCTTCATTTGGAATATTTTCTCAATATTTGTCCAACTTTATTTGATAAGTTTAGAAAAATCTGTTAATATTCTTCAAGGTGTTGTTTGGTGCTAGCTTCACATCGATAATGAAAAAAGTAATTGAGATATGGTGTCCGACAACAACCAACCATTCGAAAAAAAAAGGCAACTCAGGCATTGACGATAATAATGAGCTAATTGGTTTCCAATTATATCGTGCTACTTTGTGAAAGTGAAACTTTTGAAAGGAACAAATGAATTGGATAACATGTATTTTCATTGGTTTAATGTAATTAATAAAATTGATTTTGAACATTTACAAAACTTAAACTAAAGGAAATATTTCGAATGAGATGAGATGAGTGAAACGATGATTTAAGTAATCAAATGAATGAAAAATATCAATGATATGAAGACATTGGAGAAAGATTTCATATGGTAAAAATTTTAAACTTCATTTGAGACATTACGATGAGAAGAACTTGTTGATTATCAAATCATGTTTTTCATTATCTCGTTTTATATCAAGCATTAAGATGTGTTTATTACCCCCTGATACGTTTTATGCTTTTAAAGTTACTGTTATTGTTTTGAGATTAACAAAAAAAGCTGTAGCGATATAAGGGTATTGTCGACGAAACAGAACTAAACCATTTGCGTTGTAGTTGAATTATTGGTATGAATATATGTTGTTGCTCTTAAATACACGGTAAATATGCTTCATAGTCTGTCTTTATCAATGTTTTTATCCTTTCAACTACATCAAAAGTAATGCAGACATTCCAAAAGCAATGGTAGATGAATAATAATATGGATTAAGACCATCTTTATATTGAGTAACAATCTGTAATTGACAAGTGGTGAGATGAATATCTAATCTTTCCAAACAACGTCCTTTCCATTGTTGTGCTTCCATGGACAATACTTCTGCTTGGCATCTTCCACGTTCACAGAAAACAGGATTTCCATTTTCGATACAAATTAGATCAGCTGTTTTAGATAGAGGAAGCTTTATCACATTGAGTAACGAACCAAAGTTAAGATGGAGATAAGAGTGATCAATTTCATTGAGATAACTTCATTCGCAAAGAGATTCACTATTACAACGATACTCTACAAATGTGCCATGTTCTTCTGTTTGTGGTGACCCACTAACGATTTTTAAAATATCGTCATAATAGGTAAAGTATCAAACTGAACACTAATCAAGCCACTTGACAAATATTTCTCATAAGTCTTCTCGATCATTGTTTGAACTTGTTTCATTCGTGGTAAATTTATCATAAAGACTTGCTTTACATTGGTAAACAAATGAAGTACGATTAACACGATTCGAATTTGCAATTGAAATGTTAAGTAATTTCCGTTTATGAACCTCATGTAGCATTAACTCAATTACCGTATTCGATTGATTTAGAATCGATCGTGAAAAATATCATGGAGGGATGCTTTCGAGTTCTTCGTCCAATTGATACATTTATGAGAGATCGTATCGATAGAATGGCTCCCCTTTGTATAAATCATTAGCACCTGAAATGTGAAAAATCAATCAAAATATTCGAATTATTTCGATTAATGAAGCTAAAAACCTCTTCCTTGAGAACACATACGAAGTAATTAAGAAAATGGTTGCGAAGGAATGTCAAGAGGCGAATCCAAACGAACAGAAGCTGTTTCACGAAACGAAGATCTGTGGAAGAAAAGAAATTTTAGAGAACGACTTTGATGATCGATTTTTTAACTCACAAGGAGCGTGGAGTAAGTGTACAAAATACAAGAACGAATACCATGTCGTTGTTCTACTTAGGTACTGGCGCTTATTTTGCAGATGATCCTCGGAAATCGCATCGTCACACTATAACTCCCGAAGGAAGCGATCAGAGTCGTGTGATGTTTTACAACAAATCTTCGATATTCTATACATTCAGAAATGGGTTTTTAATCTTTGATACGAAATCATTAAAATAAAGCACACTTGACGTATTGATATTATATTTTCGCATTCGATGAATTAAGAGAGTGTCACATACATCGAGAATGTGATGACTTATCAAAGATCGTTTCATATCCTGTCAGGTTTTGATTCAGTCTATGAGAAAGATGTGTCTTAAGTAGTCGCATTTTGACACAGATTTTAGCGGAAAAAATAGAGCAGTCTTGCGTTTTCTTTGCGCGAACAGATAAAATTTGTTTTAAAAAAAAAGATAAGAATATTTCATTAAGTTTGACGCTATAAAAAGAGAACATCTCTCGTGCTGCACAATTGATTTACTAGCAACAGTTACGAGAGAGAACAATATGTGTGATCATCGAATATATAGTAAGTCTCAACGATTAAAGTAAAATAACTACACATCTATCATACTTTTGCTTGAACAGCTTTTGCATTTGTGTTGATGCTGATTAATTGTGTTCCGGTAAGCTTGAAAAACTTGGACGTTGTGCATTCCGGTGAGTTCTGTTTGTGTGCGCGAGCGAGAAGGAAAGCATGCTGATTGACATTTTTCAGGATGGTCTAACATAAAGAGCATGAATCGAGTGCGTCTATTTCACACTGCATCTTTGTTAAAAGATGGAAAGCTGTTGGTTGTTGGTGGATCTCACTATCCAGAGTACGTAATATTTTACTGAGAAGTTGAAGAGATAAGAGAAAAAGCAAATACTGATGTATTCTACATTTACATTCTAAATAGTGCGGAAGTGTATGATCCAGTGACAGGAAATTGGACAATGACCGAGAGTATGAGTATATCCCGAATTTGGCATACAGAGACTGTCTTAGAGAATGGAAAAGTGCTCATTACCGGTGGACAGGATGAGAACGTGAATTATTCGAATACTGTTGAGTTGTGTGATGCATCAGAGAGAAAATGGAAAAGAGTTCCCCACATGCGGTATAAACGAATCTGGCATACAGCGACTCTTCTCAAAAGTGGTAAAGTATTAATTGTTGGCGGTGATAATGATTCCTATAGTATTACTAACGGCTGTGAGTTATACGATCCAGTGAATAATAGTTGGACAGTAACTGGTAGTATGCATCACTCCCGAAGTCAACATACTGCTGAATTATTACACAATGGAAAAGTATTAGTCATAGGTGGATCCTCTGTTACTGCAAATTTCAATAGTTCTGAATTGTACGATCCACTGACAGAAAAGTGGACATTGGCTGCCAGTATGAATTATCCTCGAATGTATCATGCTTCAATCGTATTAAAAAATGGAAAGGTTTTGGTTGTTGATGGATGGCAACCTGGTTATGGTAATCTCAAAACTACTGAATTGTATGATCCATCAACCGGAATGTGGTCACTGACCGGAAACACGACACAGGAACGAATCGACCCTACAATATCTCTGCTAGAAGATGGCAAAGTGCTAGTTGCTGGTGGAGATGATGGCTCGCTTTATAGTTTCAATAGTGCTGAAGTGTACGATCCATTAACAGGCAATTGGACAACTGTGGAAAATATGAATTATCCGCGAGGAGGCCATACACAAAATACGCTTAAAAACGGCAAAGTAATAGTTACTGGTGGATATGGTAATGGTTATGACTTCTACAGTAGCGCGGAATTGTATACATCACCAAAAGTACATTAACACAAAATTCTCTTTTTAATTAAAAACTTTATTCAAATAAAGAAAAACTTCGTACCTTTCGACATATTACTATTCATCAATCGAGTGAAACACAAGTTTGATTGTAACAGTGCGCATCGATGCCTTTAACTCTTCTTTCCATTGTAGTTAATTTAATTTTTAGTTCATCAACATGTTATTTTGAGTTTTAGCACATCGGTAACTGCCGCACACGTTTGTTTACCTAGTAGATTTCGTATCAAGCTCGAACGACAATTTTCTACTACTTTACATTTTCTATCATTTGAAACATGAACTGTCGAGTAACTATACTCGCTTAATTTTGCACATTTCTCCCCGCAGACTTTTGCAAGTTGACTCAGTTTTCTGTGAATAGTTCTTTCTACAATGTTCGATATTATCTTATTAGAGTTAATGATCACTAACACTTTTTCCATCAGCTAACACGGATGCAGTGTGCTCCCAACGTGTCATTTGCATATTAGTCATAGTAAACCAACCTATGATCTAAGAAATTGACCGATTTCAATCACTTTCATACTTCGCGTGATGAACAAGTATGAGTAACATTATCACATGGTTCTATGGTTGAACATTGAGTTCCTAGTGTGCAGAAACTTCCATTATTCGATGCACGGTAATAAAAACAAGGCGTGGGATCCAATCGACACGTACCATTATTTGATGAATATGGATTACATTGTTGTAGCAAACAGCTTCATAACTGATCTCAACCTATAGAATGTGCTGATGACATAGATCAGAAAAATTCTACCAACATATAATTTCAATTACAAAGATAGAAATCTTAAAGAGATACTCAACTAACCTGTTGTATATAAATAAAAAAAGAGCGAGAAATGTGAGTTTTGTGATCCACTTCTAAAATGAATAATACATAGAGAAGTGACAAAACTTAGTATTTTGATTTCATATGACTATGGAAAGCAATATTGTGATTTATTTTGTCACTGTCATTTTAGCCGATGAAATTATTTGAACAACAAAAAGAAGATCATGAGAAGACTTGTTTACCTGATGATCGTCGACCATGACTCATTAATGGCCACACTGCGAATTGCTATTCAAACTGCGTCTCCTCTAAAATGGTGCGTTTTTGCCCACACGCTGTTTTTCTTCCTTCTACAGAGAAATGATGGCAAATCTTTCCAACATATTCAGCACTTGTTTTGCAGTAAGCATACATTTTGCAATCATGTTTTTCTCGTCTTTCTAATGGGATGCATCGAATTCTATAGAGGTTTCTTTCAAATAAAAAAACAGCATTTGACGACGGTTATAAAAACGAAGAAACAACAAAGTTACCAACTAAATTACTCTTTTGGTCTCGTAAACAGTTACATCGTCAAATAATTTTATCGATCTACTACAAAAGATGCAAAATATCGCCGTGATCTGGCTGGACACCTACATTAATCGCAACAACGCAGATTGTCAATACACAATTAACCGACTTGAGTGTATTACTAGTGATATCGATACACTTACGGACAATGATGAATGTGTCGAATTTATACTGAGTAGCAACCACAATAACGTATATCGACCTGTCCACGTAACGGTCCACCAGTGTGAGGAAAGTCGACATATGCAATGGGAGAAAACCAATATGTACATCTTGTAGAGCATCATCGATAACGTCAGAAAGCATATTTTTTAACTGATTGGATGTATCTTTCTTTAAAAAAAACTTGGTGGTACAATATGCACTCGAAGGACCATTTATAACTGGAAAATACGTCTAGATTACGATCTGATTTTTTTCACTAAGAGATGTTATTGTTTCTATGGTTGATTATATCACGTATGTACACCTCATATGGACTCTTCGTTTATGTCGTTAGATCTGGGATTTATCGTTACTTGAGAAAAATATTCGCTTTGATAAACTACTGCAATTCTAAGTGTGATTCCGTCACAGAAACTACTCTGTAATTCTTTTTCTGCCTTAAGTTGGAAAGTTTCAATTTCGTCGACATATGTCCCAACGCTAGTTTTTCATGCTCTATCAGATGCATTGCATTGCTTTTTAAAAAAGCGCTCGAGTTACTTTAAACGAGCGTGACGGAATCACTAATAGGTAATCAATTTGTTTATTTAAATTAGCAAAAACACCTTTTTTTCCTATAACATCCTACTAATTAATAAAGAGGACGCGGAGAAGATTCAAGTACCGCATAGATCAGAGTGTAGGTGTGATTTTTACTGTGAATATGAGTTGAAAGTAGATGCCAATTCGGAGGTGGGTAAGTTTATGAGTGGGAAATAGCGTGAGTGTACATGACTGATGGTGTGAGTGTACAGGGATAATGGTACGAATATGCGAGGATGTGGGTATGATCGTGGGTGACGACAGAATTAGTATGTAGTCATGCTTGTTGAAAGTAGCACTTACTTTCCATATTTACGCCACACACCCATGTGGATACCTATATCAGCCCACACACATACTTTCACCAGCATCCATACTCATCCATACTCACACCAGTACCGAGACTCATAACTACTCGCACCTAAGCAGATACCCTAGGTGACATCCACAGACACACACAAAATCGCTTTTACTACTAACATCTCCATTACTCATACTCTAACTCTCACCCACACCCACACTCCAAAGAAATGATACTTTGTTGTTATTGCGGGGCTATTAGAAATAGTCTTCCTAAGTATTTCACCCTTCATTATGTTTATATATCAACTTAGAGGGACTATATTTATGTTTTCGGACAAATAAAGTTTCTTTAAATTGCAACATTTTTAAATTGTGATTCCGTCACGCGAAAAAGTGATTCCGTCACGAAGCATTTTTCTAACTGTAGAGCCAGGTTATTCTTTACTTTGATTTTGTTCATTCCTGTGGATAGCTAGTCATAGAGGCTAGAATTTGTACATACAAAAGGTTTTTGTTACGTTTACAGTTTTGCTAAACTTTTCAACTCTTGTCATGGTGCTGGAAACGCATTATCATTTTTGCTGATTCCGTCACGGGCATATTTTTCGATTTTAAACTTATAAAAGGAGAGCGAAATCTGATGAAACTTTTGTGAGATGTAGGGCTGGGCAGCTCGTATATCTTACAGAAATAATCAACTTTAACAGACTAGGATGTGCTGAGATATTGAGAAGACAAGAGGAAAAAACGTGATTCCGTCACGCTTGGACAGGTCGATATGTGATTACTTCTGGCTCGCTTGGAAAACGTCTCGTGCCTTGTATTCATGATATTGCTCAATTACATTCTATTTTCATCTTTTGCGAAGATAAATCATACCATGAACAATGGACAAAAGGTTGGGCCAAAGTAAAAGGTGTTTTCATTGACATAGCGTCGCTGTGCAAAGGCATTGAGGATGTATTTCGTCGCATTGAACAGAATACCATACCAATGAGTTTTGTCCCATCCGGAAGAAAGCCAGATCAGCTCGATCCCTCTTTTATGTACACACAACTGCTCAAAGAGACGTTACTGACAATCGATTTCCAAGATGAACATATTATACAATTTATTAAGCGTCATTCTGCTTTATTCGCCATCGATGGTAAACAAGTCCATGACGTTGAGCGATTAGTGCATGACTATCATACAAAAGATCCTATCTGGTGGTATACAAGAGGTAATGATTTGCATGTCATGCTCAATAAGGCACTACGAGTGATGGATGACGATGTTCTTGTGCAGATGGGATTCTTCATTACTGATCTTCATCGAAACATTGAAAAATTGCATAAAAAACAAATTATTGATATATCTTTTTCTCGTACCTTTATGGTTTACCGTGGCCAAGGTTTACCCAAAGCAGAGTTTGAAGAACTAAGAAAGGCGGAAGATGGACTGATGTCATTTAACAACTTCTTATCCACTAGCACGGAACGTGACGTTTGTTTGTCCTATGCAGAGAGTAACGCTGACAATGCTGATTTTGTGGCAGTTCTGTTCAATATACAGGTTGATCCAACTCAATCAACAACACCGTTTGCGTTCATTGGAAGTCTTGGTCAGTTTTTACATGAAAATGAAGTGCTATTTTCCATGCACACCGTATTTCGAATTCATTCCATCCAATCCATTGGCACTGCTCGACTACTATATGAAGTGAATATGTCACTAACTAGCGACTCTGACAAAGAACTAGGTGTGCTTATTAAACATATTCAACGAGAGCAATCTTACCACGAGCACGGCTGGATTGGATTAGGTCAGCTACTAATTGAATTGGGCCCAAACAACAAAGCTGAAGAGATCTTTAATACATTACTAAATAACAGGCCAAGTAATAAGGACGCTTTACTGATTTATCATGCACTTGGTGTGATTCAACACAACCGGGGTGCATTTGACGAAGGAAGACAGTTTTTTAGAAAAGCGCTTGTCCTTCTTGAAAACTCCCTCCCTGCAAATCACCCCACTATAGCTATATTCTACCACAACATCGGTTCGGTGTATGATAATATGGGTGATTATCCAAAAGCACTCGAACAGTATGGAAAAGCTCTTTCAATTCAACAACAATCTCTTCCTGCAAATCACCCTGGCTTAGCCGCATCCTACAACAACATCGGTTTGGTGTATCATAATATGGGTGATTATTCAAAAGCGCTCGAACAGTATGGAAAAGCTCTTTCAATTCGACAACAATCTCTTCCTGCAAATCATCCTGACTTAGCCGGATCCTACAACAACATCGGTTTGGTATATTATAATATGGGTGATTATCCAAAAGCACTCGAACAGTATGGAAAAGCTCTTTCAATTCAACAACAATGTCTTCCTCCAAATCACCCTGACTTAGCCATACCCACCCTCAACATCGGCTTGGTATATTTTAATATGGGTGATTATCCAAAAGCACTCGAACAGTATGGAAAAGCCCTTTCAATTCAACGACAATCTCTTCCTGCAAATCACCCTGACTTAGCCACATCCTACAACAACATCGGTTTGGCGTGTGATAATATGGGTGATTATCCAAAAGCACTCGAACAGTATGTAAAAGCTCTTTCAATTCGACAACAATCTCTTCCTGCAAATCACCCTGACTTAGCGAGATCCTACAACAACAGCGGTTCGGTGTATTATAATATGGGTGATTATCCAAAAGCACTCGAACAGTATGTAAAAGCTCTTTCAATTCGACAACAATCTCTTCCTGCAAATCACCCTGACTTAGCCGCATCCAACAACAACATCGGTTTGGTGTATCATAAGATGGGCGATTATGCAATGGCTCACTCATATTATGAGCGTAGTATATAAATTGCAAAACAGTCACTACTCCCAGATCATCCTCATCTTCTATAGTTCAAGAGAAACCTGAAATACTTGAAAGAGAAATCGTAGCGGCTGTCTGTGTGTATAAGAAAAATAAAGTCATTTGTGATATGAAAGCTTTCAGCGCAATCCCTTTCGGGATTAAGAATGTGAAACGCGGTCGACCTGTTACAATCATGATAATATATTTTGGTTCAGAATTTGAACTTCAAATTTTTCCACAGCATTTGTTTAATTTCTTAATTGTAAAAGTTATGTTAGCATTTAGGCAATGATCTCCCTGAATATTAAAGACAAGCGATATCTCCATTATGTTGATTGCTCTGTCACAGCGAACAGCGCCGTTTTCATGTTGTTAAAATGTATAACATGTGATTCAGTCTGTTTATAACATCTCTAATGTATTTGCGGTCTGTCTGTAACGTCTGTGGGTCCAAATTTCTGCCCCTACACACCTGAACACTCTTTCAGATCGTGTTTCGCGAAATTTGCATGACAAGATAGAAGCATATAAAGCAATCATTTTCATCTTTTGAGGAATCAGTTATATGCATACAAAATACTTTTCATTAAACTTTGAGTACTAGAAGCCAATTGATATGTGTGAAATTCCGTTTTATGAATCAAAACAAACCCGAAGTGGAATATAAACGAACGAAAACTGCTTTAGTATTTTCTCTACGCTGAAATAAGGTCCTGGTTTACAACTTTCATATAGTATTATTATTTTCAATGATCTTCTACAAACTTTTCTCCCCATTTCTTTTTTCAGAAGTAATTCTATTGAGTCTACAATCATACGCTATAGTATGTACGTCGCATATTTTGCACAGCAAAGCTCATTCTATGTTCTTGCTGTTCTCAAATGCAAGAAACAATTAATATTGTCGGAACAGTGTAGAATGTGTTATTCACTAGAAACTAAATTTCATTCCTGGTTTTCTGCTAACGAGGGAACATATTTAGGTGTTCAAGCAGTTTAGATCCCATCTTTTGGTAGTAAGTAGACCCCAATGAGGTATGAAAAACCTCAAAAGGATTTGTGCCCTCGTGCCGTTGTTGCCGA